TTAAATCACTGACGTAAACATCCGCCGGCTTCAGCTAGCCATAGCCATACTCCTCGGCCCTCAATCGACTTGATAATTCCATGTGGATAAGAAATGAATAGCCTCAATCGCCTCAAAATTCTTCAGGAAATCATCTCTCGGGCTACGCGTACGTTTGGCCCAAAATTCTGATCATTTAGCCTACATTTTCGGTTAACTAGTAAGTATTCATGTAACGATTCCGAAACAAATCCCTTTATGAGGCCATTGTGCAGCTTTGCAGTAAAGGAAAGTCGCCTGAACAGGCCGAATATCCCACGAAAATTCTGATCATTTAGCCTACATTTTCGGTTAACTAGTAAGTATTCTTGTAACGATTCCGAAACAAATCCCTTTATGAGGCCATTGTGCAGCTTTGCAGTAAAGGAAAGTCGCCTAAACAGGCCGAATATCCCATGCATAGAAATGTACGGAAGAAAAGCGAACGAAAAAAATGTCGAATGAAAGCGCGGAAATCGGAAATCGTAAGAAACTTGATGAAGAGCATTGGGAATTTCAACACAGACTTCATCAGCTGGCACACTCGTAGTTAACAGAAAGTCCAAGTGAAAGTTGATATACATGAATAAGCGCTGGGCACATGGTACTGTAAATTGTAACTTACTGCGTAAGCTGAACCTCCTTGGCTTCTTCATCTTTCTGACGCTTGAACACTTGTTCAATTATCTCTCGTTCTTCGGCGGACAGATGTGAGAGATCAGGCATTAACGACGGATCGTCCATCCTTTCGCACCTGAAACACGTTACTAAGTACGCTAAGAAGTAAAGAAAGTATTACCAAAGTTGTTGGCTGCTCACTCTGTACGGAGTCGGATCCTCTATTTTGTGTCCTCTCTAGTGCCGATTTTTCACGAAATTCTCATAAGTTAATTGATTAACACTAATGGAAATGGAATTCCACTTGCTGAAACAGGGATTTTTACCTGGATGATTAGAGCGCAGTTTGGCTTGGAGGAGGCACCAAGTGGTATCCGGGCACTTTGTGAGAACCTGTTGCCTTCTGATAGCTGACCTGCCCTATTTCGTAGCTTTAGAAGTGTCCACATGGTCTCGCAAAAGTGCAAAATGCCCCTTCCAAGCCGAACACCGCCGATAACTGCATCGTTCAATAATTTCACGAGCGAATAAGAAAGTACGCTCGAGTAATACTGCGGAGTGGAAAAGAAAATAAATGACGTATAGTAAGCGCATAGATAAATGGGTTGCCATAAATTTAAATGACCATTCATGCCGCAGAGGAACAAAGAAGGATGGGGGCGGTGTTTTCACGCCCATTTTTCGATTTAAGAAAGATTTCGAAGGCACGAAAAATGTCTGTGAATGAAAAAGTAGAGACATGAAAAAAGGTCCAAGGAGAGAGACGACAGGGAATTGCATATTCGCCCTCCAATTGGTGTCTTAGAATAGCAGCCCCCAAAAATCGATCACGTCTAAGCAACAAATGCAGTAGATTGGATAAGAAACGGGCATACTTTGAAACCGCATTAACTGGTATATATATATTGAGTTACTGGATTTTTACATCTGATGATTTCATTCGTTTTACAACCCAAAGAGAAAAATTATCGATCATTTTAGAAAACATAGGCATAACTATACGGGGGGTTGAGAGGGTGAATGGTAACGAAAGCAGTGACTGATTTCATTCCCCTACAGAAAGACAGCATCACTTCCGATTTCCGTCATTCATTACTAGTTCAATTTCCGGTCCGAGCTCCTTAGCCATTACCTCATAGGTTGTATTCTAACATCGTTCAGCCCAAGACGTTCAGAAAGGTCCAAAAAACATATAGGAATGCTAGAACGGAGCTAAATTTTCGAGATGCGCACGGAAAACATGCGGTTTGTCACTGAAGCTCAATAGCATTATCCGGCTTTGTAGGCGTTACTAGTTAGCCAAATGGATGCGCCACGGATACATAGCTAAAAAGGATAGTAGTGTACGAAGCGATGACACAGAAATAAATTGATTCAGAGAAGAGTAGTTCGTAGTGTAGTTCTCTGCGGACAGAGGGGCGTGTCAGGCGGGATGAGTTTGGCGCGGTGCCAAACCCGTTCTCCACCAGTTGTTGAAGCGAGCAAATGACAAGACTGTATCATATCGTTCGTATCACTCGTTTTCTACCAACTGTTGTCGCATACCCGCTTCAACAACTGGCAGAGAACGGTTTTGGCGCCGTGGCATACTCACACTGCCTGACACGCCCCTTCATCCGCGGCGAACTAGAGTACAAACCAGTTTGAGGGGAGTAACACATAAGCTCTAATGGCCTTTGTCGGATGGTAGCGGTCGTGGAAGACCACATTTTCGTGCAGTTGCAAGGTATGCCTTTTTTAGAGACCATTTGGAAGGTTATTAGGAATGCTGAAGCTCCAGTCCTTCTTAGTTAGTAACTGTAATTCGCTTTATTGGATTTACAAGGCCATTCAGGCACCAGAGGACTGCTGTCGTCAGCCTAGAGTGAGAACGTGCATCGCCGAGTGGGTCAATTCTCGAAAAAGAGGTCCAAACGGGTCTTTCGGGCCAAACGTCTGACAATAAGCAGTTTCATCCTTGAGAAACCGCGTGGGAACGAGAGTACATTCATAACTTCTCTATTACTTTCAGGAACACTGTGGTATCTTTGAATGTTACTTAGTTAATAGTACTACTCAATAAATACTATCTGGTAAATAATATGCTTCAGAAGGAAAAACCACATGTTTTGAGGGAAGAACTGATGTATAATAAGGTTCAGAGGCAACCCAAGGGTATATGTGGAGATACTGCCTTAATTAGCATAGATTCTTCCAGCAACGCGGCGCGCTGCTTCGAACAAGTTAGTTTTGCAGTTGTCACTCTCAAAAATGGACCTTCAAAAACTGCAAATTGAAGGGTCAAGAACAGTGAACTCGTTGGAAAACTTTCACTTGTGGGGCTGTTTCCCTCACGCGATGAGGAAGAGGGGGCATTTTTGCTAATCATGGACAAAATATCTTGGAAAGGATACGATATCTCAATGAAGTGCTACCGTTTTCATTCCCAGTAGCCACGTGGCGGGAGCGCTTGAACACGGCAATAGGCGGCTAAGTTTTTGTAGTGTCCAATGGCTGTGAATTTGGCGCGCCTTTAGTCCTAATGTAGCCCAGAAGCGTCTGAAAGCGACTCGAGCTGCAAGAAGGCTTCTTCTGTCGCCAGCCGCTTCTGTTATGAAGCTGCAGACGTTTGGAAGGGAACGGTTGCCTTATGCGGACGAAGTGCTATTCTCA